TAATTTATGAGTATATCCTGGTATGGTGCTCAAGTTTTTGTTTTTCTTGTCAAGTATTCAATATTTCGTGTTGAATATATATTAATAGATCCACGTGGAAATGTTTTATATAGAAAGTAGTGTATGCGTATATAAAGTTTTTTATATTAAAACAATTAAATGGTAATTAGCTACGCTTTAAGTTGTCATGATTAAATTTACATATTTCTCTTATGTTCAAGTTCGTTTTAAAACAAATTGTGACGAACGTTTACATACACATACGCGCGTGCACACACACACCAGAGATGAAATCCCACATAATGTTGAATTTAATAATTCTTTTGCAGCACTTTTTCATTTCACCGCCCAACATTTCCGAGAGTAACTGTGACCTTGCTTTTAAATATTGATAATTGGTAGTTAACTTTTTATACTTTTCAACCATAACTATATAACAATAGCCATTACAAATTCTCCCAAGCTAGTGTTAAAGTTACCACGGAGATGAAGCTTCTATTATAACTGAAATTTACATATATCTGTTCAGAACACAAGGTATTGTAATACGACATAAGATATATGGTAACATTGACATTCTGTTGGTCATAGAGGATATATAATTAAACGTAAGGGGGAAATATTATTATTAACAAATCCTGAAAGACAAGGGGTGCGAAGACGTATTCTGTGAACCGAATGGGTGCGGCTTACCAAAACTGTTAAGAACCACTAAAATTTTCTAAGTTCTTCTTCGCATACTGTGTGATTACAACACAAGCCATTTAAGCCCCGTTATACTAGTCAGAAACGCTTTGTTTTATTAGAGTAAACAATGTGTATATTTATAACAGTATCTCCAGCCTTATTATTATTGATTATAGTTTTACAAGCCGCTACAGAAAAAAGGCTACGATTATTTTACTGCAACCTGGACAACAGTAATTAATGCAGTATTGGTTTGTCGTAGGGTAGTTTTAAAAGCAATTCAAGAGCCTTCGTTTTTTCTCCCTGAATAATTTCTCTAAGTCCTTCACGTTACGCCATTGAAAAATTCCGGTGTTTTGCTAATGCACATTAATTGGAAACAGCCACGTTGAGGATTCATCAACTGTTTGTACTTTGTCTCTACGTGGTTTTTATGCGACTATTTAAGTGAGTTTTCTAACGGTAAACCACTACCATAGTAGATTACTCTCGTGAGTGGTGATTTATTCTACCGAATTACGTACGTCGCTGAAATGGTGAGTGCGTATTTTATTATTATTATTGATATTTTTGTTTCATAAACCTACAGAAAAATCGGCTGGGTGTTTTGCACCAAAACCTAGACAGATATATGATATGAAACGCTGCGAATGTCCATGACTTATTTCAAAAGTTTATTATTTTTCATTGAAAGTTGATTAACGTGGCTATAAATACATAATATATGCGATACTGTTGTGAGCGGCTTCTTTTGTACTCGACGCTTGTTAAACGCGTGTTTACTTGAAACCTCAGTCACAAAACCACCTGGCTCATGAAAAAATTACTTTTCCAAAGCAGCAGCAAATTGTTAAAAAATATGTAACTTTCAACTGAACGCACATGCACGTCAGTAGCTTAAAATTTAGTCTCCATAAATGGACATAAAAAAACCCTTAAGAAACAAGGTAATTAAAAAGGGGAATAAGAATCGTCAAAAAAGTACTGCAACAAGTTGAATCGAAATGCAGAGATTATATTTTACAGCCTAAAACTAGGGACTGTAAAAAAAAAAACGAACTAGGCTGGAAATAGTGTCTACACTATTTTCTCAAGCTATAAATCCCTATTTTGACTCAATTAGAATTAATAAACACTGTAGACGTGGAGTCAAATTAGGGATTTGTAGCTTGAGAAAATAATGTAGACACTATTTCCAGCCTAGTTTGTTTACTTTTCCAGAGTCCCTAGTTGTAGGCTTGAAAATATAATATTTGCATTTTGATTCAACTTGTTTCTGTGCTTTTTTTGACCATCCCTATTCCCCCTTTTCAAATTAACAATTTTTTAATTATCTTGTTAAAATAGTGTTATTCCTGCGTCTATAATTAGAAACTAGACCGACGTTGGCAGCGCTTCGGTTCTGGTGAATTCTTGAATACCTGCATTAAGGTGATGCCCTATATGGATAAAAATAGACACAAGATGTAGGTTTGCTTTTACCAGTAAACTGTTTCTAAACGAACAACATGAGCCTACCCTACATTGATTCACTTTTTTTTTTTGGAGTGGTCTTAACGAAAGTTAGTTTTTTTTACTTCTGCGATTTCCTAAAACTAAATTGTAACAAACTTTTAGGTAAAAACGGACCGTTAACCATCGCATTTTCACAAAGATGTTTGATAATGTAGGGATGAAGTTTTAAGTAAAAATGTTCCATTTTCATTTACTTTGTTTCTGTGTATATGATTGTGCTATCAGTTTTATACGAAGTTTAAATTCACTTGCAACTGCGTTAATATGTTTTAGTGGTAAGTATGCTGACTTATAACAATAAAAACCAGGTTTCGATACCCGTGGTGGTCACAGCACAGATAGCCAATTGTGTGGCTTTGTGCCTAACTACAAACAAGATAATGTTTTTCTCTATGTTCAGTATAAAATTACGTAAGTGGTTAAGTGCTTATGATAGCGTGAATCAGACGTACTTTTTTTTAGTAACACATTTTGTATAATTACTGAGCTGCTTTTGTTAGTAGCAGTCCCTCGTACTTAGTAAAACTACCTAGCTTATAATAAATTAATTAGCAACAGTGTTGAGAACTACTTCTGAGGTGGTAGTCTTATCAAAAGTACTTTGACTATTGACGAGCAATATTTTGTGGCAGAGACTTTGATTGTGTTTGAGGTAAACATGGGTCAAATTATTTTCCTCGGTGTACAAATATTTTGTTTTTACAAAATCACCAAACATTTGTTGCGATATCATTTAGCACAGATTTCATTCCCTCAGTCTCGACACGGAAATACTTTAAAACATTCACCACATTTCATTAAAACAGTTAAGATTATTAGTGCATGCTAAAAAAGTTATTTCCACGACATTGGAAGAAAAGTTTCCTGCTGACGCTTAATTATATTTGAATAATTTTAAATTCATTATTTTTGTATAAAATTAATATATTATGTTTTAATTTATCAAGTAAATTTGTGTTATACATTTATGTATTCGAGTGTGAAAACATCCATTAATTCGCCCGGGCTTAAAATATATCAGTTTTCTTTCAATAGACATCAATATTTGATTGTGCTCATTATGTATTTGTGTAAACCCTGATTTTCAGGCGTAATCAGACTCACATTCGTGCTTTGCCTTTCTGTAATTGTGTAAACAAATTACTTTGGCTAATTTCATAGTAACCTGTTTTTTTTTGTATGATAAATAAATTGGGGTTTATAGTACAAGGAAGAAACTATGTGTAAAAATGTGTTATCTCCAGGGATGCTCTCGTTGTGCCCCGTGTTGAGCTTGATATAGAAGCGTGTCTGCCTCTCTTCTCTGTATAACTGTTACACGACACTAGAAGAAAGGAAGTCGTTTTTCGCTCTGAGCAATTATCCAGTCTGAAAAACGGCTGCTGTCGAAACGTGCGACATTGATATTGGGCCACATTGTATTGTTCTCGTGTGCATTCATATGCAGAAGCACGTCGTTAAGAAGGGTTAACATGCTTACACATCAGTTTCCACGCTTAAGTTTGTATGATTTGGATAATTCCTACTATAGATCCAATCGCCTGTCACTTTCATCTTCATCGTCGTCATTAAGTGGACTGCGCCATTTTGGATGTTCCTCCACTGCTCGGTCCCGTCTTCCTCCGGCACCACCATTCCACCGTACTGTCGTATATAGAGGGTATCGTGGTAATGTTTTGAACCCTCCTAGTATAGTTGATGAGATGCCGGTTCACCCTTTAATACAGGAGGTTTGTGGGAATTGCATGCTTGGAACACTACGCTCAATATAAATATGGAAACAAGATGCAATATTTTGTACACTATACTCTTGTATTTGTTTGGTTCTGATCATAATAGTGCATGGATTTTTTTTATATTTCTTCTCAGAATAATCAAGTTACTGGGTAAACATTTTGGAAGTGGAAACAACTGTATTGTAGTTAATTAAACCCTTCCTTCTTTTTTTTAAAAAATTAAGCAGGATAGATCTTGCAATAACAATTTAGTTGACTATTAAATAGTAATTAATTAATTTAGGTGAAAATGACAAAAGACTTCAAAATAAACCTTCCATACTCAGAAAATATTTCAGATAGACACACTATAAATCTAGGTTAAATAATATGAACACTAACGTGGCAGTGTTTTAAAACTAACCTCTTGGATGATCTTGATTGTAGCAGTAATAAGTTAGAAACTTCACATGTATGTTGGAGTGAGAATTAAATTTGTCAGCATTCTGATTATTGGTAAACACGTGCATACCATACTACAAACAATATGAGGGTTTGTTTGATTGTAATCTTATAAAGATAGTTGTAGAGCTATTGTTACAAGCATGTTAGGTTAGTAGTGGTTGTTGTACATGATAGTACAAGCAACAAATGAAAACGGTTTTTGTCGCTATCAAGATTTACTGCGATTTTGTTGGAATGAAACACTTTATATATGGAGTTTTTAATAGTCACTGGCCGGCCACGATAAATCTAGTTGTGTCAGAAGTTGATGTGTTTCATGGCTGCTGTGGGTGGATACAAAACAGCAGCATTGGTGAACGAGCGTTGTTAACATTTTAATCTGAAAAACGAATTTTTTACTCGCTTTTAATAAGTGTGATGAAGACTGTTAATTCACTTGTGAGAAATATAAGTGATAAAAAAAATCATGGTCAAAGTGAGTAAAATACAATATTTTCAGTTTTTGATAAACGTAAAAAAAGTTTTAATTTTTGAAATGCGCTAGGATGTATTTTGATATTCTCACTCAGTAGTTTTTTCTTATATACAATTGTATTCAAATATCTCTATTCCATACTTGCGAATCTAAATGTTTTTAGCGTGGTTGTTTAATTAAAATAAAACAATCGCCGGTAAGAATCTGGTGAGTTATTACTTTCTATGCATATGGAAAGTAACGGGAATATGGTGAAATCCATTCAACATTTTGGAGTCTCGTTTTTCCTTTTCTATTCTACCCGTAACGTTAATTCTCCACCCTCCAAGTTAAAGTAGTCTCACGTTAAGCATCGTTGTTAGAAAACATCCTAAAACAAAAAGTTGAAATAATCAAAATTCTCCGCGTGGGAGGTTAAATATTTAGATTTTAGTCAACTATATCGGTAACTTAGAATGTTTAGGTGCAAGGCTCATTTAAAAGTAATGATGTGCTAAGAACACTAATCTAGCGTTTGGAAATATATTCCTTCAATATTTACTTAAAACGCAATTTTTATTGGATAGTCTAAATTAGAATTAAGAAAATACCGAAGTGTTCATAGTTGTACATCAAAATTGTCGTCACCAGTTACACGAGTTTATTTTAGTAAATTTTGAACTTAATAACTAAAAAGTTGAGGGTGGTAGAAAAAAAGTAACATTTTTGCTATCCAATGTAAATGTGTGCATGAAGTCGGGAACTTGGCCAGAAAGTGGAAGCTATTTTGAGTACATAGTCTACCTAGCAAGACGTTTTTGAAGCACAACAAGATGCGCCATAGAGACGCGATTTTATTTCTTCCTTGGGTAAATAATTTTCGACATAACATGGTTACGAGACTGAAATTTTCTAATACAAATAACTTATTGAGATGCCCTTCCGTCCTATCTAGTTCGTGTATCAACGTGAATGTGGTTGTTGAAAGCGAAACAGTTCGACCGAATACATTAGTTGTTGGTGTCTAAGCAGGAAGGACCAAGTAGATGATAATAATCAGCGGTGATCTACGACTGTTATATACTGTGGAGACAACCGTAATTTGGGAATGTTAAATGTGTGGTTCTAAACTTAAATTGTAAAGAACAGGATTTTGTTACTAAGGGGGTAAATGTGGAATATCTAAGCTGATTGTTTTGAAAGTTGATAGAGATAGATGGAAATAATAGAATTGATGTCAGAAATACCATATAGACATTTGAATTGTCATTTGTTTATTTGGAGAGAGGCGTATTTTTTCTCCTTTTTCGTAGAAGCGTTTGTAGTAAACCAATCGACATTTTCCAGTTGATAATTCAAAAGTAACAAAGGGCTTAAGGTTAAATGGATATTTTTGTTGACTAGAAGTTCTTTTTTTTTTCTTCAAATATATATATATTCCAATTGTACTTACAGATCCATAGTATTTATATAAATCAAAACTTTTGTTATACTCTGTTTACATGAAATAGATTTGAGCTTTCGTTTAGACACAATAAAACACGTCTAGAGGTTTGTCGCCTCCAGAATCAAATAATTGAGGCTGAAATATATTATTAGAAAACGTTTCGAGTCTTACAACAGCATAACTAAGATCTACTGTGCACACGAGTTTATTCTGGATTTCTAGCCATTTTAATGTAAATGGGATAATCTTTTATTACAAAGTTATTTTTTCTTCTTGTTTCAAGTGAGGATGCCAAGGTCCAAAGTTGTGTGTTCACACTGGAGGATACTTTGAAAGCTTGTTTACTAAAAGTAAAATTTCAGTTTATTTTTCTTATATAGGTGAAAATGAGATTTTATTGCAATCCGTTGGTAAGGTAAAGATATTTAAGACCATATTGTGGCACAAATCCATTAGTTGTGTGAAGGTTTTTTTAAATTCTGCAAGGGATTGGGGATCCAAAATTCCTTTCTTTCACATGGCACGTTTTCTCAAGATAATTTGGCATGTGTTAATTTTGTTATAGGAGAGCAACCAAAGGATAACTTGTAATTTTCTATGCAAAACCACAGTTATCCTGGAAATATTAGTAATGTGTTGAGAACGTACAGGAATTGTGAATTAATTTACCGTGAGAAATGGCTTCTTTCTGTACATGTACGCAATTTATAACGAGTTAAAGCTATACAAAATATTAAACTACAGCACTATCTAAAGATAGTTATCAGATTACGTAAAAAAGTGGCAGAAGTGCACGAAGAAGAAATAGATATTGGTTTAAGACCGCCCAAGCGGGCACTCAAACGACGAGCGGCCACCCCTTTATGGTGTAAAATGTTTCGGTCTTGTTCAAGTTTTCTTCAGCGGTTTTCATCTAGGTTGAAAGTCCAGCCGGATAACAAAGATCATCAGAAAGAAAGTGTGAAGAAGCTGATGTCTGTAGGAATCTTTGCATAATTTTGTTTTATTCTTATAACGAGTTGTCATATTTTGGTAGCTTTACTATGCAGCTGTAAAGTGTAATCTGCATGTTTTATCCTCCATTTTTCCAAAGGTGGTGTTATAAATTACTAACCCGATAGTTAGTTAATACTAAAGTGTGTGTGTGTGTTTCTATAATAAGAATGATTAAGAGGCTGATGTAATTTTAACAGGAAGTTTAATATACATGCGTGTACGCACGATGACAAAAACAGTCACACGAAATTAAAGTAAAACAATTGAAATTGATAAAATACTCATAATTTTATAAATCTTTCAGTCGAATTCTGTTACCCTAACGTGTGTCAGTCAACACATTGTGAATATTATTTTGATTGAACTTGGTAAAGTGCTAAACCTCTAAAACATCTATGTGTACACACAGAAAATCATTAAAACTAAAGGAGAGTACTGAAGGCATGCCGATTGCACATTGTTCAACATGACAGAAAACGTGAACAAATTTACTGTAAAACTCTTACATTGTGTTCTCATACTTTATTTTTATGTAATATTGTTAATTTGTAGAAAACATATTATATAATCAGAGGTAATGGTTTCCGTCTGGACGCCATATTTTATATTGGTAACTTCACGTAATGTTTGTATAATAAACTCAGTTACTGATTTCTGACAAATATTATTGTGTGAGGTTGTGTAAAACAATGAATGTAAACATACATCGTACAGCATGGGAACCTATGTTCCAAATGTGTTTTGTTGATTAAAGGTAGAATTTGTCCACGTTTTATGAATGCTTGTTAAACATCATTATTTAAGCTTTTTTTTGTCTAAACCAACATTAACCTTCAAAATACTAATTTAGTCACATATCTGACGTAGAAAACATGAAAAAAAAAACTATATAAAACACAATGGAAAAATAAACTTTAACTCGAGCACTTTTCAACGTAAGCCTTCTTACTTCATGATTGAGCTGTAATTCTATCATAGATATTTGTTTCAACTGTATCAGACCAAATAGACATCGATAAACATTACTTGTAATCGTGATGATTATTCCATGAAATGTGTTTCGTAAACATCTTTTCTATCATTTAAGCTTGATCAGCTTGTACGATTTACATCAGCCTATTAAATACGGATACATTTTAGTCCAGTGTAAAAAAGTACGAGCGAAACGGTAAATAGATACATTTAAATAAATTTTTACTTTTGTATGTTACTCGTTAAATTTTACGTTTGTAAGGTACCATTAGTCTTTAAGTCTTTATTGTGACAATTTTATTTCTATTAAATTACTATTTGTCATATGTTAATTATTTCTGTTTAAAGAATCACTGCTTAAATGTAAGTAATAATATAAACGTAAACATAATAAAGAATGTCAGATTTCAATACTTGGAACTTTTAAAATACATAAATAAAAATATTGAAAAATCTTAAGATACGTTTTCTTAAAATCGTTATCTGTATGAATAATATCCTTGAACATGTTGTTCACACGACCATGCCTCCCTTGTTTATATTATTTGCCATGTTGCTGAAAATTGGTGGTTAACTACACACGCTGTGGGCACTATCTACATCGTCGTCGTCTGAATGTGAATCATGGCGACTGGCTTGGCTTGGTTCGTCTCTGTAACTGTTGCTGGTTGTTACGTGGTGGATTGTTTGGGTGAACTGACTGACTGACCTTGTGGATGGATGCCACGTGGTGGATTGGTTGGGTGAAATAACCTTCTGACCTGGGTCACGTGATTGCTTGGTGGTTTGCAATTGACCAGTCCTCACATGAACATAGCTCCAGGCCGTCCAGCGTTGAGGATGATGATGACGGTCATCTTATCTATCGTCATGGGGACATCCTGAGAGATCGATGTACTCATCTTTCCGTAACGTCTCCATATATGTTTTAAACATAATTTT